AGTCATTCTGGATATTAAACTTCGTGGATGTTGGTTTTAGGAAAGTATGTGGAATGGACGTCTCCTACTTTTAGTCTTGTCAAACGTGAATGTCGCAAGACTTCAGGTCCAGTCCCACTGAAAATGACAGGTACAACTCCAACGACGACACAATTGTGGCACGGAACAATCCATCAAAAGCAGTCTCAGTGGCTGCATTTTCTTGTCTTTGAGTGTTGGACTCTAGCAAAATGAATTTTTTTAACTTTCCCGCTCTGACCAACTCTTTGATCAAGTTTCAAAGATGATGGCATTTATCAGTATCATGCACGCGGTCATGATGATAAGTGCAATATTTGTTGGAATAGCGCTAGAAACTTTTGGCTTTCATCGACTAAGGTCTTTTAAAGAATTATTTGTTTTAGATGGCCTCTATTATTTCAAATATTGGCACTCACAAGGAAGTGATTTCTAGTGTGGATGGTTGAGTTACTTCCTGTCTCCTCTCTGACTCCTTGCAAAAAGCCTTGGATCTACCTAGTTCGGTTGATGTTGTTGTCAAGAGTGTCTTCATGAGATGATTTGATGGTCCCTTCGTATAAAATGAAGCTAGGTCCCTTAAGGTTCATGAAAGTCTCTTTTCTTAAATTTTTCCTCTAGTTATCCAATGCTAGATAGATTTAATAAAGAGTTGTATTCTTTAGCTGAAAAATGATCATTGGCCAGTTCCAAAAGTTCTGCCAAAATTTTTAGCTTTTTCAAGTGTATATCGAAATGGGCCTTCAAGTAGACCATTTGCAAGTTTTGTATGGGTGACATAAGGATCAAGATCTCTAACGTCAAAGCCAATTTGGTGATTGACTATCTAGTGATGAAGCTCCACAAACTTTCAAATTGAGCTTGTTAAATCTTCGATAAGGCCTGAGAGCATTTTTTGGTTTCTACGGCTAGTGAATTAAAACATGAACATTCAATTTAACATACTAAAGGGCATGATTACATCTACCGACAAATTGTTTTAGCCAGTATAGAGTCGATTCCTTGAGCATTGTAAGGAATAAACAAAACTTAATGATGTTGTTTATTCGTAGCAGGTAGATTGTTCATTCAAAAGAGCCTATGTGATCAGCAGAATTAGTCTTCCCACTATAAGAATCCAAGGAAGGGGATTTGAACTTCCTAGGGGGTTCCGCTTTAACAATTTCTCTAGAGAATGCATTCTCGAGTAATCTTCTCCTTTTTCTTCTCCTCCTCTCTTAATCATCTAAGGATTTCGGAGTCTCCTATCCAGAGACATGATACATCATCACGTTCTTCTACATCTCCTAACATCGGAGCCAAGGCTCTCCTTGCACTAGTTCATAATAATTCTTCTCTTGATGATTGGTGTCTTTGTGGTCATGACCTTCTCGCCATCGATCATAATGATCTCGTGTGACTTCTTGAACGACTCCTAGAACGACTTCTTAACACTTCCAGCCTTACTTCTTCCATCATTTCATGCATCTATTCTATAAGCTCGATAATTTATTTTGTCACAAACTGTCTAGTGCAATCTGTCATTATCCTTCGTTCTCCTTCGGCTTAAAGATCCCCTTACTAAATTTGGGTATAGGTTCCGCACTCACTGCACCTTTAAGGATATTGAATTCATTTAAAACATATAATCTCATATAATCCATAAACACATAAAATCCAAAAGAAACATTTTGAAAGAAGTGGAAGGGTGCTGAAGAATTTTTGGAGAGTCCCTTTCCTTCTATTTTGGTTTGGAAAAATGACGGGAAAAATTAGGAAGGGAGAGGGATAGTCTGAGAGCCTCTGTTTTTTTCACTTTACTACATATTTATACACCATAGATTTTATGTGCCCACACAAGGGTTTAAGAGATAAATAAAAAGTTATATTAAAAGTTGTAACATACGAAGCCAAAGTAAACTTGTCATTAATAAGATCCTTTGCATGGATGTGAGGTAGTCAATAAATGGATTTATACTTGATGATGGAATAAAATTCTTTTATCTGCCTCAAAGAATTTTTCATTGTGCTCGGTAAGCTCGGTAGGAGGATTCTATTATTACAGACGAGTTGAATAAAAGAACTCCAATAATGTGAGTGAGCTCAACTGGAGGAGCTCATCTGAAGGCATATTGGTAAGCCCGTTCAGAGCAACTCGCATGAAAGCTGGTGAACTTTAAATGTGCTTATTAGGTCCTTATGGATGGCAAAAAACTTTGTAGCTTATAACGTCTAAAAGTGCAACAAATGAGCATGATTGGCATAATCAAGACCAGATCATCAAGTGCATGGTTAGTGAGCTTGATATATTAGGGTCATGAGGCTCACTTACTATTTGGGCTTTCCTGTTAAGAAATCTCATTTTTGGATGTACATATATTAAATAAATCAACATAAGAGACCTTCGTGATAAAACTACAATAAAAATAGGTGAGAGATTTATAGATGCATTGATCAAGAAAGCACACAGTGAATTATTGTTAATAGTAAAAAAATGATGTGTAAAATTTCATAGAAGTTAACAGTTGTAGCAGGGACTTGTCCATCAAAAGCAATCTCGATAGGCACCTTTCCTTATCTCTGAGTGTTGGCCACGAGTGAAATAAATTCTTGTTTCCACTTGGATCAGCTCTTTGATTAAGTTTCAAAGATGACAACATTCCCAATATCATGCCCATGATTGTGAGAATAAGTGCAATATTTGTTGGGATTGTGCCGGTAACTCCCAACTTTTATCGATGAAGGTCTTTTAAAGAATCATTTATTTTGAATGGCATTATGATCTCAATCACTTACAATCATAAAGGAGTGATTCCGAGTGTAGAGGGCTGAGATATTCCTATCTCTTATCTTGCCACTTTGCGATAAACCTTCAATCAAGCTACTCTGGTTGCTAGTGTTGTCGAGGGTGTCTTCCCAGGGCTCTTCAATAGTCCCTTCATACTAATTGGTGTCGAGATCCCTTGTGTTCACGAGTCACTTTTCCAAAAAAATGTCCTCCAGTTTTCTAGTGCCAGAGGAATTTGATAAAGAGTTATATACTATATCTGAAATTTGGTTGTCGGTCAGCTCTAAAGTTCAGCCAAAATTTTTAGCTTCGGCAAGCCATGTATTAGAATGGAACTTCATGTAGACGTTGTGCAAGTGTTGCATGGGTGACAAAAGGCTCAAGATTTCTAACATCGAGCATCTCCTATTGGAATAAGAGATGAAGCTCTTCAAACTTTTAGATGGAGTTTATAGGATTTTCCATAAAAGTTGAGAGCTTTTTTGCAGCTTCTAACGCTGATGAATTGTACCACGGACATTCACTTGAACTTTCTAATGGGGGTGATAACTTCTAGTATTAAATTGTTGAACCAACACAGAGTTGATTCCTTGAGCATTGTAAGAAAGAAAAGACTATTAAGGGGGTTGTTTATTCATAGCAAGCAGACTGTCGATTCTGCAGATGCTAAGTGATTAGCAGGATCAATTCTCCCTTTACTTGAGCATTGTAAGAAAGAAAAGACTATTAAGGGGTTGTTTATTCATAACAAGCAGACTGCCGATTCTGCAGATGCCAAGTGATTAGCAGGATCAATCCTCCCTTTGTAAGAATCCATAGAAGGGGTTTTGAACTTCCTAAGGGATTTTGCTTCAGCAATTTCTCTAGAGAATGCATTCTCTAATAGTCATCTCTTTGTACTTCTGATTCTTTTCATCATATGAGTATTCTGGAGTTTCTTCTCAAGGGGCATACAATACATCATTGCCTTCTTCTAGGTTTGGAATCAGGGCTTTCCTTGCGAATGCATTCTCTAATAGTCATCTCTTTGTACTTCTCATTCTTTTCATCATATGAGTATTTTGGAGTTTCTTCTCAAGGGGCATACAATACATCATCGCCTTCTTCTAGGTTTGGAATCAGGGCTCTCCTTGTTCTGGTTTGCGGCAGTTCTTCTCTTGACAATTGATATCTTTTTGTGCATCATCCTCGCACCACCAATTATAATGATCTTGTACGACTTCTTAAATGACATCTAGAACTAGTTCTAGACACTTCTTGCCTTCTTTAATCATTTTGTGCATCTGATCTCTGAGCTCAATCATTTGTTGTCATGAACTCTTTAGTACAATATATGGTTGTTCTTTATTCTCCGTCAGCTAAAAGATCCCCTTGCCAGATTTGGGTATGAATTATACACTCACCGAATATTTAAAGATGTTGAATCCTTTTAAGATGTATGATCTCATATAATCTGTGAATTTATACAATCCAAATTTTAGAGAGTTGTATTCCTTCAATTTTGGTTAGGAAAAATGAAGGAAAAAATCAGAACGGGAGAGAAAAAAAGATTCACAAAAAGAGAGTCCAAGAGCTTCTCCTTTTTCCTCTTTACCTCCAATTTTTACACTATAAAATCTATATGTCTATGCAAAAGTCTAAAGAATAAATAAAAAGCTATATTATGAGTTTTATTGTATTGAACCTAAATAGACTTGTCATTAATAAGATCCTTTGCATGGATGTTAGGCAGCCAAAAAATGAATATAAACATGAAGATAGAACGAAATTTTCTTGCTTGTGCCTTAAAGAACTATTCATCAACCTTGATGAAGTATTCAGGTAACAACCAACAAGCTCGGTACGAGGATTCTACTGGTGCAAACAAGCTTGGTAAAAGAACTCATGGAATATGAGCGAGCTCGATTGAAGGAAGTCATTTTAAAGCTTAATATTGATAAACTCAATCAAAAGAACTCGCATGAATACCGACGAGCTTTAGAGTTACTCGCTAGGCCCTTTCGAGGGACAAAAAACTCTCTAGATTGTCAGCTCTCAAAGTAAGACTAATGAGTATGATTGGCCCGGTCAGGACCAAACCATTAAGTGCTTGTCAATGTGTTGATCTATATGCCCCCTGAGACCTACTTAATATTTAGACTTTCTATTTCTTTAGGAAACGCATTTTTAGATGCACGTGTATTAAAAAAAAAAGATCATAGGGGACCTCAGTGATAAAACTGCAACAAAAACAGGGAAGAATTATGAAGACATTGATCAACAAAACAAGCAGGGAACTACTGTTAATAATAAAAAATACATTTTTTTCTATACAGAAAAACTTTTAGGTAAGAAAAGCTGTTGTTTTAATTCGCACAGTGCGTTAATCTTGTGAAGCGAAACATTTCAAGCCAAAAGCCAGAAGTTTCTCTGGCATCTGGTGCTCACCAGGTAACCCCCTACTCCATTGCTCCGTTTCCTCACAGCTATGGCCAAGCACTCTGCCTTCTCAATGCACTGTTCCACAAAACTATCATTTCTTCTCATCATAAGGCTGCATCAAGTGTAGCAACCATTTTATTAACAATTAAAAACAAAAAGGTACAAAAAAATTAAATTAATCTACTGAAAAATGATAAATTTATTCTCTTACATCTTTTGTTCTTACCAAGACAGAACAGAAGACTTTGTTTGGCTTAAAACAAGAACAGAGATCTTTAACCGCTTCGCTTGTTTGAGAACCGTGGCAAGCTTTGGTCCTCTGATCACCAGAGCTTCCACTTGCACCTGATAGCATGAAAAAAAAAAAAATTTACAACTGAAACAGAGAGCAAACAAATTTCTGTTTAATTCGATTGCTTTTCAAATTTTCATTTTCGAAAAACAAAAGCGAAAGGAAAAAATTATCACCTGAAATAAAATTATCTGTATTCTGTTAGCTTGATTAAGGGGATTGTTTATGAATGTTCTGGGTTACCTCAGGGCGACAGGCTTTACAGAGGGAGGCAAGAGAGCTGACAGAAAGGCGAGCCTTTTCCTCTCTCATGGTAGAAGAAGAAGAAGAAGTTGGAGAGCGATCGGCAGAGTGCGGTATAACGTAGAGAAGAGTGAGGATATCTCCCTTGTTGGCTACGTGCGTGAGAGCCCACATCATGGCTTGCTTCGCCGGAGCGCCGCTGTCAACCACCGCCATCACCTTCTTTAGACTCCCAATGGCAGCTTCGTAGCCGCACTCTCCTTCCCCTGTTTTCTTCTCAAAGTTCATAGCTTTGGAGGAGATGAAGTAGCTTTCTTCCAGAAAAATTATCTTTGAGATGGCAGGAGCAGCTCGCTTCTTAAGAGGCGGACAGCGAGGAATTTTACAAAACAAAAAAAAGAAAAAAAAAAGATCGAGTGCCCAGGGAAGCAACAGGGTCACGGGGCGGAATCAGCGAGCGTATGATATACTATTTTCATGAACTGTCACTCATTGATTGTCGTATTTGCAGGATCTGCTGCCTTACCCTCCCATCGGCCATGGCCACATAATTTTGTGAGGCTTAGATTTTGACAATTTTTTAATAAAATAATTTTTCTAAAATCATTAATGAGGCATTTATATGAATACGAGTTACAAATCTAAGAAGCCAGAGCAAAAGCTAATCAAACACAGTCAATAAGGCCAGAGTTAGCAAGGCAAAAAGCGACCAAATGGTCAGAACTCAAATCTTAGGAAAGACTCATGTCCTTAGTACCATCAATCATTCCATGGACGCTCTAGAGGCTTCTTATCAGAGTTTGACATGTCACAAGAAATCTAAATCATCACTTCGACTCTCCTTGTTGAGAAGTGAGCTGCCTATCGGGTTACACCTGATCACCCTATACACAAAAGCCTAGCCTCGCTCAGCCAGCATGAGTATATTGCATCATATTTCCTATAAATAGGAGATTTTTTATGAGAGAGGGGCTAATAGACAAGACGTTTTACTATTCATTACTATCTCTCTCTCTTCCGTTTTATGTTTTAACCCTTGAGGTGTGATTCATAGATAGATTATGATTCAAAATCCTAAAAGATATAATAAACATGAATCATACCATGGACAACAAGAGGAGAACCACACTGAAAATAAAACCATAATACAAACATTGGTAATATTGAGTGAACAAGAGAGTTTATAAATTAACAGCTAAAGGATGAGATGTTATATACCATCCAAGAGGCATTAGCTCGGGGAAGGGATCAACACGAGGAAGACGCCTAATGGTCGAAGGGCACCCCTAGTCCTAAAAAGGGAAGGAGATTCTCATCACTTTGATAGTGCTAAGTGATGGATGGACATCGTTTTCGGTGCACAGAGACACACTGCCAACTAGAGAATACATTCTCTTGATAGATCTCTAAGGCTGAGCCCTAGAGAGATTCAAGATCCTTCATTGGAATCTCATAATGGTCAGACTGATCAAACTGATTAAATAGCTTCCTTTGAGTCGATTGTATGTTTGTTGAAGATCACCAATGATTTATTTTTTTCATCACGCCAAGGGAGTCAGCCCTAAGATGATTCAACAGTTTGTATTCATAACTAATTACCTCATTTGCTAACTTCAAGGTTGTTTATGGTGTGGTTTTTCGGTGCCTAGAAGACCACAAAAATTCATAGGTCCTCCTATAGATCAGGCAAGGGTAGAATGAGGTCTTCACTCATTCATTACTCAGTTCTAGAAGGAGTTGTTGGAAGTATGGGATCTGGAACCTGCAGTAGCACATGTTTCACTAACCCAAAGGCTGAAAGAAGGATCATGTTTGTACGCTCTAGTCTTACAGTTACCATGGACCTTGATTGAGTTGTTGGAACTGTTCAATAACTATAGATTGGCCAAAGAATACTTCACCCCCGCTTTCTCCATAATACAGTCTTCCACCCATCGTTTGCAAAAGAGGGCCTTAAGGGATGACAACTGAAGAGTAAGGGATGATTCATGCCCCTTAGCTCATTAGTGTTATAAAGAAAATCAGCCACCCCAGGATCACAGAGAAGCTAACAGATCCTACAGCTGAGGGAATCAGGTCTGATATCCTGACCAGTGCCGACTCAGTACAATGAGCACAATTACCCCATCATGAGATGCAGAAGACAACTTTATTCATTGTATCAATGGACAAGATGGTTGTGGCCATTTAAAATAAGGAGAAATTTAATAAAGCTACCTTGATAAAGACCAAAACTTATCCCGAGGATCTGAAAAAGTATTGCACATACCATCGAAATCACGTCCATCACATGAAAGATTGCTGACACCTTCAAAGCTTGATAGGAACTAATTAGGGATAGCTAACTGATAGAGATAATGACTCTAGGAGCAATATTGTAGTGGGAGGTAAAAACTCCAATAGTAGAGATTTCAGATGAGCCAGTCTAAGCGCACACTAGTCATATTACATGTGTAGTCCCAACCATCTCTGAAGGAGGTAGAGAATCTTCCTACCGAGCCAGTCTAAAGAGGTTTTAGTTGGGAGAGTTATGCAAAGCTAATTTCACCCCAAAATGTACTTCACATCACCCATCAATTTCATTAATGTTGATTTGACCACTAAGGGAAATTCATACAATGATGTTATCATCATTACTGCTATAATAAGCAACTATTAGATTGACACTTTTCTTTTTGATATCGAGAGTTCTGTCAATATCATATTCAAGTTGGTGCTTGACAACAGGGTCTAGGAAGCAATCGACTAATTACAGCTATTGGTCCACTCTATGGCTTCTTTGATTAATGGAAAGAAGCTCAGGGAATCATAGCCCTATCGATTGCCTTAGGAGAGAATGACAAGCAATTCACAAGCATAAGAGAGTTTCTAGTGGTTGATTTGCCACCAATGTACAATGTCATCTTAGATTGGCCCCTACTCAACAACTTCAAGGCACTTAACCAGCCATGTGGCGATAAATTTTTTGGGTATTCATCAACATCTAAGACAACCTCAAGAAGTCCCAAACCTTCTACCTATGGGCGATCAGAAGTGTAGAGCAGGAGCTCCTCAATCTTGGAAACCTACATAAAGGGGGTATTGAGACTAGCAAGACCACTCTTGAAATTCCGGCGACTAAAGTCAAGATAGGTAATTTTTTTTCTAATAAGTGAAACTTTTAATGTAGGGTTGAAGGATATTCTTATCACCACCCTCTGGTACCATTGAGATGTCTTTTTCTGGTCTTTAGTTAAGATGCTAGGGATACCGGTTGATGTAGCATGCCACTGCTAGAACGTCAATTCAATGGCCTGACCGATGAACCAAAAGATGATATCATCAGTTATCACCTTAATAAAACCTATTTGGAAGGAGGTACGAAAACTATTGTAGGTCGGATATATCTTAGAAGTTTGTTACCCAACCCGAGTATCTAATGTGTTCATGGTTCATAAAGCGTGAAAAGTGGAAGATGAGTGTATTCATAATATGAACTCTACTTGTCTGAAATATAGCTACCCACTGTCTAGAATTGACCCACTAGTGGACTCAGAGGTCGGCCACTTATGGATGAGCTTTCTGAATGCCTTCTTTGGTTACCACTAGATAAAATGCACCTAACAAATGTAGAAAAGACATCTTTTATAAAAAAATGAGGGTTTATTTGTTATTGTGTATTGTCCTTTGGGCATAAAAATGTTGGGGCTATTTACCAGCAGTTGATAGATGTAATTTTTTCCAAGTAAAAGGGAAGTATAAGTAGATGTTATGTTAGTTAAAAGTAAAATGGCTGAATAATATATAAATAATTTATATGAAACCTTCAAAACTTATACAAAATTTAACATAAGGCTAAATCCACTCAAATGAACTTTAGGGGCATCAACAGACAAGTTCCTCTTCTACCTCTTAACCTTAGATGGAATAAAATCCAATCTAAAGAAAATACAAAAATTGCTCGATATGTCGTCTCCTTAGAACACAAAAGAAGTGTATAAGTTGACTAGTCAAATTACAAGTCTAAGCTAATTTAGTTCCAAATATGACAATAAGTGTGCAACAATTTTGAAAACTTTATGGCGAGCAAAGAAATTTTCCTAGTCAAGAGAATTCATGCTTTTAAGAAATTGAAAGATTCTTTGGTATCTACACCACTTCTCTAAAGTCCTAAACCAAAGGAAGTGTTGTCTTTGTACTTACAGGTTGGATTTATGCCATCAATTTGGTCTTATTCAAGAAGGAGCTTGGAAAGCGATTTCCGATCTACTACGTCAGATGAGTACTTCAAGGCGCCAAGCTTAAGTACTCTATTATGAAGAAGCTAATTTTCAATCTTGTTATTTTTTCTCACAAGATTTAGCCATACTTCCATACACACCAAATTTAGGTCACACCGATCATCTGTTCAAATCTGTCCTTACTCAGACGTAGCATTTTGGTCGGCTCCTTAAATGGGTATTAGAACTCAGTGAATTTGAGATTGCTTACCTTTACTTGCCCCATATTGTCATTAAAGTGCAAGTGATAACTGACTTCTTAGTAGATTTTCAGAGCCAAAGAAGCCAAATGAAGGAGCACCTACTAAAAGCCAGACCTTGCACTATACATCAACAGAGAATTAAGTCATATTGGAGTAGGAATTGATCTTGCCCTGACTAGCCCAACAAAAGGGCACCTATATCAATCTATTGTGGTTAAATTTAAGGTTACTAACAACCAGGCCAAATATGAAGATCTAATTGTTGGGTTGTGCTTTGCCTACCAGATAGGCACCTAGTATCTTCTAATAAAATTTGACTTGCAACTAATGGTGGATCAAATGAATGGTTGACATGAGTCAATTTTATGTCATTTTAACTACAGTTTATCATTCTTTTTTTACTTGTTATTTCTTCTTTTTTATCAAGTTTTTATGTTTATGGAAGTTTCTTTGTGACATTTTACAAGTTATATGTGTCAAACACGCAAAATGGAGTCAAAATACTCTAAAAAGTGCCATTTAGCATAACTACGCCAGATCTAGGCATGACCATGCCATATCTAGGTGTGACCACACTATAACTAGCATGACCACGCCAGTTTCGGGCTTGACTACACCAGTTTCATGTGCGGTCACGTCGCTAGATTGCCATATTTTTTCATCTCAATTTTTTTGTTGAATCTTTAAAAGGGAAGCTAGGGTAGGAATTGAGGAATCCTTAGGTGGAGAGGAGAGTCGAAGATGCTTGTAGAAGAAGTTTTCAAGAATTTTCCTTATTTTTCCTTTTCCTATTTCTCTCTTGGGGTTGAGGTCCTAAGGGTTTCTTTTACCTTTTTATTTGTATTATTATTATATGTTTTGAGAGGTTATTGTATAAAAAAGGATTTGGATATTATAGAAGAGGGAACAAATCATTTTACAAAAGTTTATTCTCTATTCCGCTTG